GCATTTGAGGATAACATTGACTTCATGTTCGACGAAGCCAAGAACGACTGCCTGAGCTTGGAAAATCTGGATTGTTGCGTGGTGGGAAGAGAGAGCCCAACTTCTTCGTCTTCACCATTGTCTTGCTTTTCTACTGACTCTGCTTCATCAACAACAACAACAACCTCGGTTTCTTGTAACTATTTGGTCTGAGAGAGAGATTTGCGTTCTAGTTTGAATTTCTATTTCTTCTGCTTCTTCTTCTTTTTCTTTTGTTGGGTTCTGCTAGGGTTTGTATTTCAATTCTAGGGCTTGTTCGTTGGTTCTGAATAATCAATGTCTTTGCCCCTTTCTAATGCTCCAAGTTCAGATAAGAAAAAAAAAACTAAATGAACCGTAAAACAGAGAAGTAGAAGAGTCCCAGTCTTATTCTTGACCGGACTGTGAAGTGTTCTCCCAACGCTCCTTTTTTCTCCTCTAATGTTTTTCAAGTGTAGTAACTGTGAAGTGTAGTAACTAGGAAGGTTATAGAGGTAAAAGTTGACTCCTAACACTTAACTCATAATTCTGATTGCGATGATTTTTGGTTTGCTAAATAGCTTAGTAAAAGAGCCTTATCATCCAAACTTGCGATCAATAGGTAACCGTGAACGTCTTCATTAGGGTGAATATTTGAAGATCTTTGTTTTCGGGTTTACACATAACAACTCTCAAAGATGCGTCTCTTTTGTTGCATTTGGCTCGGAATACATCTTGTATAAAAAATTGTATTTGCTGTTGTAAAAAAATTCGATAGTACAATTGGTAGTGTATTCGTTTTGCGGAAACAACTTCAATTTGTATTCCATCAAACAATATATCTATGCATTCAAGTAGAAAATCAAATTGAGTAGATATGGAGCATAATTAAGTAGAGTGGTCAATATAATAATATGATACATGATAAAAGTCTTGATAACATTTCACACACAATAAGCCTAAGCAGCAAGCTATACTGATCACACAATCCATAGTTTAAGGCTTTAAAATACATAACTAAGAAACATAACAGTTTAAGGTTTTAGCAACACCAGTCGTTTGCTTTTAAGTAGTTATTAATTAGATAGAGAATGATATAGGACCAACAAACCTTTTAGCCCTTAATTATTCAAGAAGGTGGAAGGTGATGATGTCAGAGGCAGAGGGAGCATGAAGGGCATGGTTTGGGTAATGGTGGTGATGGTTCTGGTGGAAACGAAGAGCGTAAGCACGCGACCCTTCGATTTGATATCCAAGAACTGAGTCGTAATCTCCTCCATTGTCTACTAGTCCATAGTGGGGATCTTCAGCTCTTAGTTCCTATTTACCAAAACATGTTTTAAGCCATATTCCACATAAGTAAAACCAACATTGTTAATTCGAATTAAATGACATGACATTTGATATGTGCATGATTTTAGAAGATATTTCGATTAACAGAATGAAGAGAAAACATAGAGTGACGGATCAATCTACACTACATTTTATATATCCTTTTAACTGGCTTCATAATCCATGTTTACATTATGCCTAAAACAACATTTTCAGGAATACAAAATGAGATATTACCAGCTCATGTATGAGATTCTTTTGTATGTCTTGTTGACTCTTGTTCTGCAATTGTGTAAACCACAAGAGAAATTATGAAGATATATACCGAAGTTATTATGACATCATCACTATATTATATGCTTGGTGTTTCTTTTATCCATTAGCTTAAACACACACACACACAAAAAAAAAAGATAATTGTCCTAGAAAAGTGTTATCAACAGTTTTAGTAAGTTCATAATTTCAATTTACACAAAACTGTTGAGACAAATAATATGATAAAATGGGAAAGTGAGTGGACATAGAAGATGTGACCTTTTTCTTGGTGGTCTCGATCTGATTCCCAAGAGATTTAATCTGTACAATTAACATATATATAGAATATTAAAAAACGACCACATATATTATCCAACAGTAAACAAAATGTTTCATTTTCTAAAACACCTAATATAACAACAACAGTCATTTATCTATAATTAAATTCCAAAATTAAAGCTTGTCTATACGATTAATTAAAACCCTAGGTAAGGGAAAAATATGAAGAGAACCTTGCGCTCGCGAACGAGTTTGAAAGTGTTATCCATTTCATCCTCAAGACGACGCAGCTCCTGAATGTCAAGCTCGTCCAAACACTCACCTAGCCTCTGCCTACAATTTTAGCAAATTATGTATATGTTTTCGTCATCTCGTTTTTTATTCTATTTTTATTTTGTAAAATAACTCATCTAAACAAAAAATTGTTGTTGCAATTCAAAGTGAAGTTTAAGAGAAATAGATGAGAGAAGAGACAGAAACAAATACTTAATCTGAGTCCGGAGATTTCTATTTGTCTCCAACAGTTTCCTCTTGGTTTCTTGCATTCTCTGCGACAAAACGCATCAAGAATTTAACCAACCATGAAAAAACACATATCGAGAAGAAGAAGAAGAAAGATCTAAACAAAACCTCATATTGAGTGGCCCAAACATCAACATCAGAAACTGTTTGGTACAGATCTACGATCTCCTTCGTTCTATAATCAAAAAAAGTAGTGGTAAATTGATTAGAAGAAAACAAAGCAATCTAGCTTAATTTAAGAGTGGTGTTTAGAGATCCATCTACGTGGTGTTAGGGCTGATATACTCATGAAGCTTGTTGGAGCTAGAGAACATGATAATCGAAACCCTAGCATCACACAAAACCGTGAGCTCATGTGCTTTCTTGAACAAACCATTTCTTCTCTTTGAATACGTCACTTGTCTGTTTGTCTGGTTCTCTATCCTCTTGATCTGGATCTTCCCTCTCGCCATGATATTCTTCTTTCTTCTCTCTTTGTTTAATCTTTTTGTTGAAGAGAGATTTGATGGAGAGGACAAGAGATATATTGAGAAGAGAGAGAGAGAGAGAGAGAGAGAGAGAGAGAGAGAGAGAGAGAGAGAGAGAGAGAGAGAGAGAGAGAGAGAGAGAGAGAGAGAGAGAGTTGAAGAAGTAAAGGGTCCACTTGAGTTACTAAAAATAGAAAGTATTGCCTAATCCATGAAAGGTAAGTTCAGAAGTTGATGAAAACTAAGTGATAAATATTCCATTTATGTAGAGTGGTTTTTTTAATTACAAGACACTGCTTAAATCAACGGACATCGATGATCGATGGTTGTATAATTACGAGACACTGCTTAAATCAATTGTCACTAGGTAAAAGAGGGGGACCAAATCTACAAACTTGGTTTGCTTTTCGTCAATTTAATAACGGAGCTCCGTTAGTTTGTACTTTGTTTTTTGTTTAGACGGTGACATACTTAACGGCGTTGCCCAAGCATCTGTGGTAAAGGCAGAGGAAGCTTTGGGAAAGGATGAAACTTCCAAACCTGAGTTCGATTCTCCCTGGAAACAAAAACACATTTGTTTGGGAAGTCTGTCAGTTGGGCTTTGGCCAAATTGGTTTACCTGGTAGCCAGAAATGCAGGCGGCCTGACTACCCCTGGCACTTAGTCGGAAGGCATTCAAAACTCGGGATAGGCAGAGTGGTAGCCCGTAAGGGCCTAACCGTTAACACGGTGGACCAGTCCACTATGTAGCACCACGGTGCGTTCCTACCGGGGCCGACCGGATAGCCGATAGGGTTTATCAAAAAAAAAAAAAAATACTTAACGGCGTTTGTAAACGTCAAATCAGTGCAGGTGGATTTGGTTGGCTTTTTGCACTTACCCTAAAGTAAACGATAGTGTTTAGCTGTGAAACAAGTTTTTATTTTGGTGTTAAAAGCCAAGATTCTACTTTTGTTTGTTGGATTTGGGAAATAAGAAGAAAGAGATATATGTTTGGATTAATTGTCACTTCCATCTAACTCAAATCTTTTATATGTTTCCCCAAATGATTACCAATAATTTCCCGCATTTGCCTTTAACTAAAGATCCATGGAAAATCGAATATTACCCCAAGGGTTTAAGAAGGAATCACAAGTTAGGAGAAAAGTCATTGTTTGTAGATAATGCTTTGGTCCAAAACTGGCCACCAAATCAGATATATGCACATTACTAGCCCTGGGCATAAAAACCGAAACCGAAAAACTGAAACCGAAAAACCGAACCGAACCGAACCGAAACTATCCGAATGTTTTGGTTTCGGATGTCACAAAATAACCGAATGGTTCTCTTTCTAAACTATCCACGGATATCGGTTATTAACCGAACCGAACCGATATCTATGGATATCCGCTTTAAACCGAACATAATTTATTTATGAGGCCTAAAGCCCATTTGTCTTCCCTACCCAACCCATTGCCTAATCCCTACCCTACTTACCCAACCCATTAAGTCCAAACCCATTGTGTGTGATTGTGTCACAGGAAGAGAAGAATGGAAGATCAACTCAGGGACTTGAAGATGCTTGTAGAATCTAATAATCTTTTACTCTCTCTTTCTCTCTTTCTCTCTTTCTCAAGTCTCTTTTGAACTTGATTATTTTGTTGCGGTCTCAAGTCTAAACTCTTAAGTCTCTTTGAAGTTTGAACTTTGTTATTTTGTTGCGGTCTCAAGTTTTATTTGGGTAATGGTTCGGTTATTTGGATAGTTCGGTTATTTGGTGGGTAAATAACCGAACCGAACCATATCCGAAAGTATTTCGGTTATTTTTTGGTTCTCTTCCCAAGTATCCAAACCGAACCGAACCGAAAGCTAACCGAACCGAACCGAACCGAAAACAGTTCGGTTCTCTTATGGATGCTAAGTGCCTAAAACCGAATAACCAAATAACCGAATAACCGAACCGAACCGAACCGAATAACCAAACGCCCAAGCCTACACATTACAATTCTTATTTTAATGTATTCAAAATAGTGATTAAACTCTTGTTTTTTTGCTTCGCCGAGTTCATAAGTCTCGTTTTGGGACTAAGTTGGCCACAGTATAACATGGATTGTTTCTATTTCAACATCAAGTTTCAAGCAATGCAAATCAGTGTGTGAGTCACGAAAATGGAAACCAATCCCTTACATTGATAGGGTATCCAAAGAACTCTTGTATCAACTTCACAAGCCAAACACAAGAACAATCATTCTTCGCTTAAAACCTAAGAAGTTCAGTTACAAGAGACTTGTATTTTCGTTTCAACGCTTTAAAACAGGGTCAACTATGCATGATGCGAACTAAAAATGTAATAAAAGATCTACAAGACGTGTTCCTATGGCTAAGGTACATTACACAAGAGGTGCATCATTCATCTACACAAACAACACGCACTCTTGTTCTGGTCTCAGTTCAGTTTCCCTGTTCTCTTCAGGTACTCTTGCATGCGACTTTGGTTTGTTTCAAATATGAAAGGCATTCCCCGAATCTGCGCACAACCATATATATCTCGGGAATAAGTACGGACCTAGAAGCGTAAGTAATGATCATAAAAGAGTATCCAGGATCAAACCTCAACTAGACAATCGGATTTGAGGATCAAACTCTGTCCAGGATCTACTTCCTTCTCATTTACTGATATTGAATACTTCCCCAGATTTTTCATATGAAACGACCCATCATCACCCAGCCGTATGATTGCCTGCATTCAGTAACCAAAAAAGGAAAAAAACACACACACAACAACCGTTACAGATCCTGAGCTGCTGCTTCTCACACAACTCAAAGACCGAAATAGAAATAGAAGTATCTACTATTGACCTACCTGTCGTCGAGATATTTTGCTACCCCGCTTTTCTCTTCCCAAATCAATGTCCACGGCGAGGTCTTCTGTTGATCTACCCACCAAAACCTATGTTAAGAAAAAAGAACCCCGGTATAAACAAGTGCTACTGTAATTCTTAAGAAGCTTATCAAATCATACAAGGAATATACTTAAACGAATAAGCTAATAATACCTCAGGCTTCTTGATGTAGTGTTTTGAATATCTACCATATAAAACAGCTAATGCACCACGGGAAGCAATGGCTCTTTGCATATATGAATAAGCAGCCTGCTCAAGTCTTATGATTGTTCTTTTCATGTCCTGGCTCTGATACTTGGCAACTGCAAGTGAAAACATTTTACGGAATTATACACAAGCCTTAAACCTCTTATAACATCTCTTGCGCTACCCATGGAAAAGGTTCCCCACATAATTGTGGCATGTAATGACTTTTGTGAGCCAAATACAGAATATATTCCTGATTCACATACTAAAAGCTTTCATTTTCCAAAAATGTAGATAGATAGAAAGAAACGTGAGTTCCACTGAACGAGAAGGGATGCTCAATTACCTTCGAGATCAAAATTATCTTGATCATCAGGTTCCAAGTCCATGTCAAGTATCTGAAATCAAAAAGAGTGTTATTGATTAGGTGTTTATCATGGAACCATAACACAAGAATAAAGATGGAAGTCAAGAGTTACCATAGCCTCAATGTCAGAATAATTGGGTAAGTCCTCATCACTCTCACAAACATGCGCTTCTACTTCTGCTTCTGCACGAGTGATCTCCAGCTCAGGGTCTGTAATCTCTATCAAGCCATCAGCAGTATTTTTAGCATGTGGCGATTCATTAACAGGTGGTACAACATTTTTCTCTTTACAGTTTTCACTATCCTTCTCCTGATAGCTGCCATGGCCATCAGAACCGACAAAGAGTGTTCCACTAGCAGTTTCTTTCTTTCCATCTTTTGCACCGGTACCAGTAGAAAGCAGAGTATTAGAGCATGCCTGTGCAGACCCAGCACAGGTAGAACCACCAGGAGCTACAATATTCTTTAACTCAGCACTAGTCGATGCCCTGAATTTGCTAGCTTGACTTGGTTGGCCCATCTCTGGCTTTCCTTGAGTAGACCCCTGTAAACGTCCTGGGTTTTTCTTTAGAGTCTGGAGTGAATATCCCTCACTTTTTTCCTTACTGACGGAGAGGTCTCTAACACATGTAGTTAATGGATTATTGGTATCCTTAAAGTTCCGCCGGGCTAAGGAAGAAACTGACATTGGATGGGAGTTGTTGGATAGGAAAATGTCATCATTACACGGAATATCAGGATCCTCTTGGTTTAATAAACAGCAGATTACACCCCCAACAATCTCAGGATGAGGATCTAAAGCAGATGCAATTGCAATTGTACCATCTAGCTCAAGCATCACATGATCATCCAGAGTTGCATCTCCTGAATGAGTTGGTGCAATGGAAGGATCTTGCTCGGTGGAGTTAGGAAAAGCCTCGCGATTTGTATCATTTGTTGAGTTCACCAACAGTGAGCTAAGACCATCATAATATGACTTGTCAACTTCTTTGCCATCTACTTCCATGAACGGTTCCACGTCTTCTTCGAAAAGAGAAGTTGAAAGCTGTGCCAGGAAATCAGTGCTAGCCATTGTGGTTATTTCCTCGTGAACAGTATTCTCTAGTTTCTGCTCGGAATCTTGATGAACCACATCACATCCTGATGGACCTGCATGTTCAGTGAATGTGAGATTTTCTCCTCCTACGTAAGGAATCTTTCTCTGTAAATCATCTTCCAGCACAACATGAGTTGTCACGCAACCGCCTTCAGCCAAGATTTCTGGAAACGCGTTGTGGATAATATCCATGTGAGAGTCCTCAAGACCAAGATGTGTTGCATCACCATTATCCATGAAATGGCTATCATTTGGTGGTACGAGGAAACCTAGATCCAAGGAATTAAATGGCTCAGTCCGAAATTTCTTCCGCAAGGAATGATAAGTACTTCTGAGCCTTTCAGCATTCCTCTTCCTAGATGAGCTTTTGTTCTCTTTTGAATATCCAGTTCTACCAAACTTTGTAGGAAAATTAGGGTTAGTACGTTCAAGCTCAGTCATCCGAAAAGCCGCCTCGGCAGAAACTACTGGATCATAAAGCAGTGCATGCCATCGATCTTGCAGTTCTCTGATAGAAAATCTTCTAGAAAACTGCACAGCACCTTTAGCAAGCGATTCCAAAGAAGCACCGGCCTGCAAATAAATTAAGGATTCTGGTTCACTTAATTGCTAGAATACCAGACAAGCGGAATGAAGAAACACGCAATACATCCAGAAGCACTCATTTAGTAGAGGAACTTTTTGGCTAGCCTAGCTTGATATATAATGCTATATGAGAGAAGCAATGAACATAATTATTTACCGTGTGGTGATTGATGAGCCATCAGTAACAAGACAAAAAGAATATTTTTTCAATCGTATTATGTTCTCCTCATAAACAGAAAACAGAATTAATGAAAAATATTTGACAGTCCTTTTCCAGGTGGAGAGAAGCATGATACATACAGCTCTGATATCAGTGATCACACAACAACTAATTAGCTAAACGGTATAAATTTTTGTAGAACAACAATTACAGCTTGGCTCATCGAGATAGCGTAAATTGGTTTCCCATAATACTTCATACTATAGCGCATATAACACTGGCTTAAGATGTTAACAGGATCAAACAAAAAGTTGCCCTGATAATTCAACTATTTCTTGATATCTGTAACCAACCTTTTGTCTCAAAAATTCAAGTCACCTCAAGACAAAAAAAAAAGAAGGAATGAATGCAACCAATACAATATTAATAGATGAAGAGTACGAAAATCAAATATAGGTACAAGAAACTACGAAGAACAAAGCCCAGAAACAATGTGAGAGTCACAGAATTGATAACCATTAATGTTCCAACTACTTCCATTTAAGCAAATTAATAAAGCTCTGCAAACAAGCATGGTAGAATACGAAAACTACATAACCATTGAACTACATAAAACGTGTGAAAGGACTGGAAATTCAGACAAATAATGCCTAACCCTCAATTGAGAACAAACCCATGGCACAATCCAACATTGGGACAAAAGAATATCTTCCACTTCCGGTAGCAAAATAATGAAAAACTGAAATGTAACCAAACTCAATGATTATGGGAGCTCACCTCGACGGCATTCTTTAGCAGCAGGTCGTCTTCGGGTATCCACGGAACAACCTGGGCAAGAGCCCCCATGTCCACTACACAACCAGACAGCACACAAAACCTAATTAAAATAAATCAAAATTCAGTGGACAAAAAGGGCAGAAATTAATTTTGTTGATCAGGCCGAACAATATCATCAGAATTGATTCAAATTTGGTTCTCTAGACGACGCTATTGCTTGGTCTAGCACTAGTTGATGGAATTCATGGGCTTCTAGTAATCTAAGAAAGCATTCTTGCAACAGGGTTTAAGAACGTAAGAGAAACAGAACATGTTTAGAGGTGGAGTTACATACAATACCTTGAATCAGCCAAGAAAGATGCTTGTCAAGATCAGCCTAGCAACAGTGACAAAAGCGAAACAACAAGTATCAGGATTTGGAAGAAAAAAAAACATTAAAATAACGACAATGAAGAAAGTGACGAACCACGATTCGCAGTTAATTTAATCAGCCATTACAGGATACAAGAAAAATTCCATTGCAAAATTCTCAATTCTCACTAAGAAAGGAACTGACTTGAGGAGGCGGCAGCAATTCACTGGCTCGAATTGAAGAGAAAATTCTATAATTCTGAAACCCTAATAATTTTTATCTGACTGTCTCCGTCGTCGTCCGGAGGCGAGATTTGTACATGTGTGCTAAAAGAAATTTCCCCATTCGGGTCGATCCAGAAACCCGATGACCCGAAAAGCTTTCCGGGTCAGATTTAAGAGCATTGATCAAACCCCACATTAAAAACAGAGAAACGCGCTCCATAAAATTTTCATCTCTCTCGACATTTTTCTCGAGCAAATTTTCTCATCTTATTCACTCTCCCTTAATTATAACAATATGTCATGTAATACTATATTTAAAAAGAAATCAAAATTAAAATCAGAAAATAAAATGAATTAAGGAAACAAAATATGTATACTTTTAATTAAACAAAGTTAGGTTTGTGTTTATAAATAAGAGTTTGAGTTTAGATTTAACAATTAAACGGGGTTAATTATATGTCGGTTCGAATTTATATAGATGGATTAAGATTTAAATTTTACAATTAAACAAAATAATATTTTGACTTGGGTTTATAAATGAGGATTAGAACTTAGATTTTATACTTAAACAAAATTATATGATGGTTTGAGTTTATAAAAGAGTGATTAGGGTTTAGATTTTACAATTAAACGAAACTATATGTTAATTTGGATTTATAAATAAGGTTTAGGGTTTAGATTTTACAATAAACCAAAATTATATGTCGGTTTGGATTTATAAAAGAGTGGTTAGGGTTTATATTTTATAATTAAATAAAATTAGATCTCGGTTTGGTTTTATAAAATAATGGTTAGGATTTAGATTTTACAATTAACTCAATTTAAGAATTTTTAATGAATTAATATTTTTTTAAGATAATAGTAATGGTTTTGGTTTGTTTAATTAGATTACATAGTAAATTTTGATTGGCTAGTTAAGATGGAGTGAATAAGAGAAGTTCAACCTCCCAAGAATTGTTCATACTTAGCTCTATACTCGAGATATCTACGTCTGGAAGAAAACGCTGATCTTCTTCGGCAGATCAAAGATTTCGGCGGATACATGGTGATTACACCGTATTTCGTCTATAAACCAAGCAGGCCTTGCCTACGTTAGGCAATTTGAAACTTTAGCCTCCCGTCACATTCAATAGCTTATTAATTTGTCTTTAATGCAATTTTAAAATAAAATTTTACCATAGAAACGTAAATGCTTAGTCTATTATTTTCCTTAACTTCTAAACGTGATGTTAGTAAATTGAGTTAGCGAGATTTTTTTCGACATTAGTAATCGTAGTAAAAAAATTAAAAGGAAATACTGAAATAAAACAATTAGGTAATGACACTCCAAGGGCTTGATATTTCAACCATTTCTTCTATTATATTAGGGCAATTTACACAAATGGCCCCAAAAAAGTTTTTTCTTCTAAAAATAGTCCCATATTACATAAATTCCAGAAATAGCACCCAAAAGTTTTAATTAAACATTAATTAAAACAGAAAATAGAAAATTTGAGAGACTAACCCTAAACGCCTCCGTCGCACCCAAAATTCTCGTCTTCTCTCATCTTCGACCAACGATCTCGTCGCCTCCGCCGGAATCTCGAACCCCTCTGCCGGAATCCTTCACGGTTCCTCTCTGTTTCGCCAATTCTTCACGGTTTCCTCTTTGTTTCGCCAACTCTCTGTTCCTTTCTGTTTCGCCAACCCAATTTTCACTGATTCTCCTCTTTTCTCTCTGCTTCATCGTGTTCTAGGGTTTCCTGTAAGTTCTTATTATCTCTTCTTGTATTTCAATTTCTCTTCTTTTTGGTGTTTTGAATCGTCTCCAACGATTTGGTTTTTGTGGGTCTTTTACAAAAAGTTGAATCCTTATTGCTTTTGAACTTCATACGGGAGAGTTTCTAGTCTTTAGTCATCTCTCTGTGATAAGTTGAAATTGATAAAAAAAAAATTTGTAATCAATCTCAGTTTTCATGTTCTTAGTCTTCTTCTTCCCGTGGTTTCTTCTTGTGTATTGACTATAGTATATGTCATTGTATCTTTCAGTTGTTAGATTTGATTACTATGATTCTCTTCTAGTTCTTGGGAATGTATTCAGAATCTAGAAAAAAATACAGTAATGTTGTAGTAACAGTTTCGTGAGTTTTTTTTAGTGTTCTTGTGGACAAGGTAATGAAAACAATAATGGTGGGTGGGGTTTTAGTTCAAAGCAGTGACTTTTATTGTGGAAAGTGTGAATTAGTGGAGAGTGTTGACTTTTATAGTGACTTTTATAATTTTCACTGTTTCAATGAAAAACCCCACCTTCTTTCATGTTTTCACCTTCTGCTTCTTCCAAGGAGGCGGTGGTGGGTGTTTATGATGTCTTCTCTGTCGCCATTGTTTTCTAGTTTATAGTGTAGTGTCCTGTTTTTAGTTTCTAATTCTTGTAGATTGAACTGAATTTAACATTTGATAGTTTAATATGTTTCGTTCTTAATGGTTGAGATTTTAGCTCATGAATGAGATTTAGGCTTTTGTGAATCTTAGTTTCCATCAGATTAGTTTATCACTTTAGATGAGTTTAGTTTTGTCACAAATTGAGAGATATATCGTCACATAGTTATAGATTCAAGTTTGTGATATGAAGATATGAATAAACATTATTTACTTGTTTCTGTAGTGTTATTGTCTGTTCTCTTTGCTGGATAGAGTTGTTTTAGTTTGTATTCTAGAATGGTCTTCTTGATTCGGGAAGGACTTATAGTAATTCGGGAAGGTTTTCCTGATTCGGAAAGGACTTATATTAATTCGGGAAGGTCTTCCCTGAATATATTTGTTTACTGATTTCCTTTAGTTTTAATTGTAGGAAAATGGAAGATTCATTTCCAATTGATGTCACACTACCAAAGCTTCTGTAAAGTATAGGACATCAGCCAAATTCAGATGTTAGGATAAATCAATGTGCACGATATGAGTATATCGATAAAGTACAACGCATCCTCTCTGCTACAGAGTTTCAGAGAATAAGAGAATTGAAGATTTCTCCAAGCTGTGTGATATAGATTCAGAAGACATCAGAAACAAGTTGGCTGTGGATATCTTCAATGAGTGTGTTAAGATTTCTTAGGACGACTATGTTTCTTTATTGGATGTATGATGCTTGTGAAGCCGTTTTAGACTGTTTTGTTACTTCTCTGATGGTTCTGAACTAGAAAAGTATCATCTGTTTCTATTTATGTTTTTTTAGATATTCAATGTATGGTATTTTGTCAGATACCATATGTTTCCAACAGATTATCCACTCAGTTGTATGCTCTCAGCATATCCTTTGCATCTTAACTGTGCAATTTGTTAAAGATTTGAGGCAAACTATGCAAAAGTAAAAAAATTTTGAAATTCAGGAAGAGTTTCCAAATATTTAGGAAGGATATATACAAATTCAGGAAGGCCTTCCCTAAAAAAAAAACTGTAATAGTTACTTCCACCAAGATTCGAAACTGGGACCTATTATTTTTGTAATAGAACATGTAACCAGCGAGCCAAGCGTCTAATTGTAAGATCTTGTACAAACGAACGTATATATTTCTATGAAACACGAAACACATCATGACATAAAAAGAGATTTTATAGATCATTGACCTTAAAAAAATGTGTAATTTGTGATTAATATGAGGCAAACTATGCAAAAGTAAACAATTTTTGAAATCCAGGAAGAGTTTCCCAAAATTCAGGAATGATATATACATATTCAGGAAGGCCTTCCCTAAAAAAAAAAGCTGTATAGTTTTTTCCACCAAGATTCAAAACCGGGACCTATTGTTTTTGTAATAGAACATGTAACCAGTGAGCCAACCTTCTAATTATAAGATCTTATACAAACGAACGTATATATTTCTATGAAACACGAAACACATCATGACATAAAAAGAGATTTTAAAACTTCGCAGTAGCTTGCCTATGATTTCCTTTTCTGTGTGTAGTATCACATGAGTGCTCATGACAATACTTTTCACCACAAAGAAATCAGAAGAGTCTACCCTCATTGCATGCATCCTCCAAGTATATTTATCATCTACATATACCAAAACCACTCTCTCTTTGTTAGACCATCGAGACCTAAACTAAAACTTATACTCCAATTCCCATGTCCTCATCTTCTGCATTAACTCAGCCTTGTTCATGAGTTATTTATTAACATATATATCATCAGCACCTTGTGTTGAATGTACACCGCCTATAGGAATCGGACTACGATCTGGAGCAGGAAGCAAATCCAATGACTTATTGCCTATTCCCTTTTCAGCCGTTGAACATGTATCACTATATGGCACAGAGATGGAAGAAGTTCCGACTGATGGATGAGGTTCCTACAAACACAAAAATAGATAGGCATATGAACAAAGAGTTAAAATTGAAAAAAAAGACGACTAGAAACGGATCATATCTGTATATTGCAGTATTTAGGAAGGTCATCCTAAAACTAAATGTATCCTTCCTAAAACCTTTGAAATTGAGTTTTTACCTTCTGGTTTTCATTTGCAGCAGAGATAAAAGAAGTTCCAATTGAAAGATGAGGTTCCTATAAACACAAAATAGATAGGCATATGAAAAAGAGTTACAATTTTAAAAAGACAGCTAGAAACTGATCATATATGTATATTGCAGTATTTAGGAAAATCATCCTAAACCTAAATGTTTCCTTCCTAAAACCTATGAAATTGAGTTTTTACCTTATGGTTTTCATGTGCAGCAGAGATAGAAGAAGTTCCAACTGAAGGATGAGGTCCGACAAACCGAAAAATAGATAGGCATATGAATAAACAATTCAAATTGAAAAAAAAAAAGACGACTAGTTCGGATCATATTTGTATATTGCATTATTTAGGAAGGTCATCCTAAAATTAAATGTATCTTTCCTAAAACCTATGAAATTGAGATTTTACCTTATGATTTTTATGTGCAGCCGTTGAATGTGAACTTCCTATAGGAATCACATCAGAATCTCGAGCAGGAGGCAAAAATAATGAATAATTGTCCTGTCCTTTTTCAGGCGTTGAACATATATCACTTGGTGGCACAGAAACTGAGATGTTCATTCTAGTGCCTTCTTCAGCCTGCATAAATGTCACATAGATGCTAACTTATAAGATTAATGGTAATGCATGGAGATAAGAAGTTTTGGTTGCTTACCTCAAGTTCTCCAAGTACCAAATCGTCAAGTTCCTCGCATATGCAAACTTCGTCTTCATCATCCAAACTTTAATTCACCAACAAGATTTAATCAACTCTAAAAACCATATAAACAAAAACAAGGACATGACTAGAGATCACGAGATACAAATCTGTTACAATCTTAGATCGACATAGCTCCAAACGCATGATCTTTCCTCAATCAAGCCCAACAATGAAAAAGGAAAGAGATGAACAATGACACATCAGAATTCTTTGTGCTGAATCAATGAACGCACCTACAATTTGCCTAATTCCACAATAGAAAGCCATAATTCAACAATAAACGCCTAATTTCGTCAACACGATTGGGAAAGAAGAAGAAGAAAAAATTGGTGAAAGATCTATTTAGACCAGTTTGAAGTTCGAAAATAGGTGAAGCTTTCTCCGTCGCCGGCATATCTCTCCGTCGCCGGCAGATCTCTCCGTCGCCGGCAGATCTCTTCGTCGCCGGCAGCTCTCTCCGTCGCCGGCAGCTATCACCTGAAATCGTCTCCGTCCGTCGCCTTATCGTGGAGTGACGACAGTTATCGTGGAATGCTTTTTCCCTTCTCTTTGTTTTGTTAAATTTATTAAATTAAAAATAAATGAGTGCTATTTTTATCAAATAAACTAGGAGATGCTATTTTTGTCACAAAAACTTCATTTAAGGCTATTGGAGACCATTTCTCATTATATTATCTATGGATTTAAACTTTTCTTTATCATTGATGTTTTGACTATCTTTGTAATTCACAAAAAGGTTATAAAATATTGATTTTGAAAATTTGGTTAATGATCTTATGAAAAAAGACATTTACCTTTCAAAAAATATTTTTATTTTATTTTTTACTCTAATTCTTTATTATTATTTTGAGTTTTTTTTTATGATACTGCATCCGGTCTTCTTATTTAGGCACGATTCTAACCAAGGCCCTGTTCGTTTGCTCATTCAGATGATTCATATAGATGAATATGAGAAATGATGTTTTTTTAGTGCAAAAAATGAACAACATCCATTCATCTAAATGAGTTTTTAAAATTTAAGCAAATTTGTCAAACTCATCTGGATGAACATGATTGGAGCATTGTCAAACTCTTAACTCTATTTAATGGAATGTTTTGAGACTGATTATGATTGATAAAATCTACTGATTTTAGTTGTTGTTCCAAACTAATTGCTCAATTATAGTAGTAGCTGAGAGATGTAAAATCTAAAACTTCATGATGTGTTATACAAGTTCGATATGTAATTGCATCTCACCTCATTGATCGTATATCCCCATTGCCGCCGTCTGTTCAGGGATTCCCCAATGCTAAAACTGTCGTCATTGTCGGAAAAGGTGTTCCAGCAGAGAACATTCCAGTCGATCCAACTTCATCCCCTTTCAAGATTGCAGCTCCAACTTCGCTCTCGTCCACGCACCATGCTGCTTCTTCTTCCACTGTCTATGTCTCTTCTCCAATACCCGCTTTTTGCAAGGAACTCGAACATTGGATCTGTAACTAATCCACACTTTTCGACGACCCTCAAGAATCAAGATCAATATTTATAAGCTGGTAAAAGACTTAAGATTCATCTCCTGTTTCTTTTACTTTAAATATGTTCTTTACATTTTGTGGTGGTTATTTTTTGTGCAGTCGATTCCAGCCCATGTGGTGAAAAAGCATAGCCTTACGTTTGGTGATTCCATCACCTACATTGATAAAGAAGGGCCCTTAACAGAAAAAAAAAAAAAAAAAAAAAAGAGAGAGAGCAAATCTTGGAGGTGGATATAAAAGGATTGCTTTCAGAGGATGGGAGAGGCATAAGGAATAGGCTTCACGATTCTTCGAATTGCCTATCAAGCTGCGATGTACTTTATTTGGAGAGAAAGAAACTCCAGCTTCATAACTCTGTCTCTCGGCCTGCGATTGCTCTAATAGTGGAAATCAAGAATCTCATCAGATGTCATTTGGATCCCTTAACTAGAGCTCAACGAATTGGACCTCATGGAAACTCGTTTCTTGCTTCATGGTTTCGCCTTTTTCACTCTTAATGTGCTCTGTTGTTCTTTTCTTTTATTTCGTGTAGCAGGTGTTTGATCTTATGACGCACTATGTAATTCGGGTTCCATCGTTTAAATGAAGGTTTGTTAAAAAAAAAATATGACCAAAGGCACGTTCGTTCTAACAGAGTCCACGTCATGCATGGAGCTGCTTGAGTCACTTCCGTTTTCCCTTTACTAGTAGGGTGGGGGTCCCGTGGTTCCTATGCCGCCGCGTTTCTCATTAACATCCTCATCATCTCTATCACCATCATCTTTATCATCAGTACTTTAGACTGGGAGAGTACTGTTGTAATGCTTTTATCTTAATTAGTATGTTTCTTTATTCCCAAGATCCCTTATGAACTAATTGTTGTTGTTCTGTTCCTGTGATATCTAGAATGCTAATAAATAAATTCATCCATGGATTCTTAGTATGTATGTTTCCAAAGAAGAGAAAATTGAACAATTTTAATCTTCCCTGTTAATCATTCCCTCACTCTCTGTTAGGCACTCAAGATATCTTAATTTATAATTTAAGTGCATAAAGTACAATCATGCTTAACATTGCAATTGCAAGGCTAGTGCAGTGAAACCATCACAATTCACAACATACAGACCACTCTGTTTCTTTGTCCCTTGAGCGCAAATACAACATTTTTTGCTTTCTCGTTCTTTTATTCAGCAAAATGCCACAGAGGAGAGCTTAGGTATAATTTCTATATATATATATATATATACGTACATAAGCATGCATCGATTTAGAGTGCAGTTTCTGCATACTGTTCAGGCTTCTCTACTTGCTTCTTAAGGAACTCCAGCACAGAGAGCCGCTGCATGCATGTTAAAATTACATTGTCAGATAAAGTTTTACTGACATTTAGCAGCTTTGGATAAGATACAAAAAAAGGGAGTCGTGCTAGAATCTTACTCGTTGCTCGAGAGCAGAATCTTCAGAGTCCAGTTTCAAAGATTCCAGCAGTTTCATGCCTTCCTTGAAACCATCTGTTGCTGCAACTTCATTTTGTAGAGTCCTGTCTATATCCGCAACTTTGGCTAAGGAAACTGCCACATCCAGAATCTACAGAAAAAATGTAGAAATAACAAGCAAAATCAATCTCTACTTCCAGACAGACCTTGCTAGCTATCTTTCAGTTACAATTTCTCTATGCAATCAATCGAGTAACAAATAAGAAAACCAAAGAGAAGATTTCCAACTAACACAATAAACCCATTACAATGCATGTAAATCTAATTATAGTTATCCACAAGACAGTAACTTTATCACCAGAACTAAATGATACCTCATCCAAGTATACTGCCACGCCAACACGTCAGTTACTTAAACCTCAGTGCGACCCAGGCAACAAAATAGCAAATGACTTGAATAAAACCTAGGACAGTATTTAGAGAATTTCTCTGAAAATTCATGGTAAAGTAACAAATAAGCAAAATGGCAAGAGTGGACCAAGAAACCCGCTTGAACACATTGAGAACAACTATACTCTATTCACTCAACATCTTATTTCAGATCCTTGATCCACTAGCACCTTATGTTAATCTCTACATCTTTTAATGCTTTTGAATTCATTTTGCCTGGACCCAAATGAACATCAAGATGTAACAATCACATCAAGAAACGCTTTCTGCCTCTAGAGTGAGAGCTTACGATCTACAAAGAAGCCTTCATGAATGCTACAATAAGTCAATAACTTAACTAACAACAGATATCTTTCTACGAGACCTTGAAATGTATATGGCGACTAAGAGTAGCCAGTTCAGCTAACCAAACATTGGGACAAAACAAAGAAGAGCAAAAACAGATTGTATGAGGGCATACTTGTGAAGGAGCATTTGGGTGATGCTTCATTGCATCACGTCTGACATTTAAAGCTCTATCATAATACGACCTTGCAGCTTGTAGATCTTCGTCATAATATTTAAGATCTCCTATTTTATTGAGTGAGACAGAAAGTGTATGTGTAATCTGCAAGTTAAGATAAAATTGTTAACAAAATGGTAAAAAGTTTGCAAAATCAAAATATAACAAGAACCAATGTGCTATAACCTCCAAATCATTCAACGGCAGTTTCATAAGGAATTCAACACTCTCTTCAAAATGCTTGACTGCAGAGCTTGAGTCTCCCATCGCTCGGCTGCAACAATAACAAAAAATAATTTAACCATCAAACTTAAGTCCCGGAAAAAGAAAGATTTCAACAAACCAAACAGAAGATCAAACATTTTGGCCTAATAAACACATTTCAGGAGGAGAAATTGATTATGTATAAAGAAGGTTTTCCGAACCAAGCATGTACTGTTGCTTCTCCTTTCCATTTATTCTGAACGAGGTGATTGAACCACAGAGAAAGATGTATGCAAATGATAAGAGGATACAGAAAAATCTGAATATACAAATATATTTCCAGCCATTGATGTAGACAGGGTCCATCTAAAAACCAGAATCTAGTTCAAACGAGAAAGAACTTGTTTTAGTATTTCCCCAAATGCTATGCGCACTCTAAGCAAGATGAAAGCAACAACCAGTCGACTTGAGAAACTATCAATTGAGGAAACTGCCAAGGAAGGGCCACATACTTGAGGAACTCAAAATTTAAAAAATCAATATGAACAACAAAGAGGCTATAATCAGTCTGATCAATGGAATAGTAAGGTGGCAGCGGGATCATAAAAGATCATATTGGTGACCAAATTCGTAAGCACCGTTCTTTCCTTAATCTTATTTGTTCACGGAAACTCGAGAATGTATAGATCTTAGAAATAAACAACTTGGGACAAAAAAAAGAAGACAATATCATACCTACAGTCACCAAGCATGCCAAGGACTGCACCAAGCTGTGAACACAACTCTGGTGTATTGCCCTCCCTCCCTAGTTGATCCCGAATATCCTCGGTACACATTGCCAACCTTGATTTAGCACTTTCATAATTTTGGGCACTAAATGCCTGCGCATACAGGTTGAATAGGAACAAGAAGTCACAGCAGGACATCATAACAAATGTAAGTGGTGAAAAGAGAATAACCCCATCGGTTAGGTGAACAAAATTTAGAGACAGAACTCACCCTCATAGCTTGTTGCACCAAGAAAGAACCTCTTTCCATGGAAACATCAGCGTAAATCACTTTTTTGTTATCATTTTCAATCTCTTCTTTTTCTGTTCCATTGACGACAGATCTCTTGATTCTAGCATGGCCTTCAATAAATTGATCAACCATCTTTTGAAGGTTTTCATCAACTTCAATACTTTCAATGTCAGCACCGCAAAGAGGGCAGTCATTAAACCGTGATACGCACACTCTGATTTCAAGAAACACAAAAAAGTTCAATAAAAGTAGATCCAATCACAATTATTTAAGAGCAAGAACGAAAAAGGAAAAAGCATTTACACAAAGTGGCTGAGCAACTAGAACTTACTAATTGAACACAAACGAAAAAAGTAAGGCTTACTTGCAAAACACATGTGTGCAAGGTACACATCTACTGCTCTCATATAGAAGTGCTTGACATAGCATACAGCTAAAAGGCCCAAGCTTGAATGTTTGAGAGTCATAACCAAAGGGGCACTTGGCAGGCACAGTTGCAGAATCAGTAGAGTCCTTATTCAATTTTCCTTCGTGTTCGGGACATCCATTACTTGCAATTTCGTCTTGCTTTCGTGCAGAGGCATCGTCAGGACGAGCAGCTTTAGAAAAAGGGCAACCAGAAGCCGTAATTTCGCCTTGTTTTCGAGCAGAAGCATCGTCGGGACGAGCAGCTTTAGAAAAAGGGCAACCAGATGCCGCAGTATCGCCTTGTTTTCGAGTGGAAGCATCGTCAGGACGAGCAGCTTTCGAGAAAGGGCAAACAGAAGTCGTCATTCGTGAAGGTAACAACAACCCTGCACCTCAAAAGAAAAATTCAAACCCAAAATCACTACAATTGCTTCCCCAAATTCGAAATAGATTCTCTAGCTAAACTAAATCCATAAAACAGCTGAAATCGAACATAGAAGAAGCTAATCGAATGACAACATTCTTCTCGAGAGAGTGAAATTTCAGAGAGAAATTGAGAAGAGCGTTTCGGAAGTTGCTCATTAGAGAGAGATGGATAAACGACCTGAATTGGAGATGGAGATTTGGAGATTGTCTCTTTCGCGGCTTCTCTGCAATCAATCAATGATCTATTGATTGATAGCTTCTTCTTTTTTTCCGATAAGTTTTTTTTTTTCTTTTGTTTTCTCTCAGTCAAAAGAAACTAAGAAAGAAAGATTTGAAGGATATGTGTGGATTGAATTGGGCCTTCGGTTTTTGCACTATATTTAAGAATTTGGGTCACTGGCCAATTTAAGAAAACGCTTGTTCTGGATTATGATTTGATTAAATAGACTTTAGTACTTTACTTAAAAATTGCTATTTTTCTCAACACATAAATCAAGTTTTAAAACTGCGATGAACTCTAGATTAAAATTGAATTACCTCGTCAAAATTACCACTAACTCTAGATTAATATCAAATAAATATTTAGGAATAATTCTTGACTACTTGAAATATAGAAAAATCTTTGACATCAAGGTTCAAAAGGATGCAACAGACATGGTTAGAAGAGCAAAAAAAACACATTATACTATTTGATTGCTAAGATCATATAACTTTGGTGTTTTAGAAATTCAATTTCTTCTTATAAGAAGAGAGTATGAAGCATTTACACATAAACAACAAACCAGAGGTTCAAAACTACTTTTCAATCCGTTCAATTCCAATCAAATCATAAACTTTGAACTTGTCCTCTGGATTACGAAAGGTTGACTGCTTCGCAGGTAACACAGTGAACCCATCAGGATCAGTACATGTCTCAAGACCACACTCATGGCATAGAGATTCAACATCCAACTCCTGAAATATACAAAGTTGACTTATGATATTTCAAGTTTACCAACAGTATGAAAATAGAAAAGTAAGGGGTCCTTTAGTCATAGGTGTATTATATTACCTTCATCAGCAGGTTCTGAGATAACCGCAAGAGAGGATAAGGTTGAAGCTTGTAGCAAACATTGTTTATGTATTGGACAGCGACTGATCGCATCTTTTACCATGAAAACATTAAGCAAATGATCAACATAATTGAACAATTTACTGCATATATCATTCCATGTATCTGCACTTTATACCCACCCATATATGAATCCATGTCACTATCTAATTTCCTTCTAGTCCAAACTTACTCTACATCATCTTTCTCATGCTTATTGTCATTTCATATTACATTAGCCGCTACCGATTAAAGTGCCATAAAGACTATCCCTGAGAGCTGGAAGGACATAACTATATATTTATATCCATGCAAGCTCACCTCTCTAATATAAGGTTCACTTATGCAATACTGTAAGTATGTCGCCTCAGAAGCTGTTCTACTTAAGAAGTTCTTGTAATTGCCCATCCGATATAATCTGGAAGAAAAATACAGAGAAAAGACAGGGTATCATCATACTTTACTTCAAATTTCCTAAATTTTGTTCAAATTAAATATCTCATACGCAAATGATTGAACAGCATAACACTACCTTAAAAGATTTCGTACAAAACATATTTCCTTGGATTTTACTAAAGCAAAAGTTAACTTGCGAAACCATAGAGACAGCGGTTCCCCCTGCAGATTAAAATCTCAAATGTTTTATATTAATGGCAAAAAGAAGGTGACATGGTAACAAATCAATAAGGATAAAGAAAACAGAGAAACAACCATCACTCCACTACTGGAATTGAGATGAAGCAGCACATAGAATGAGCGGAACTCGGCTTCATTTTCGTAGATATAATCCGGTTTCCTATTTGCATCATATATATTATACAAAGAGGTAAGAGTTTTTGCTAGTTGCTCCATGTTCAAGTGATGCATTGAGCTAATACTTGTACCACTACAACTCTGAAGCCTCTTGTGAGATATGACATGAAATTTAACCTGTTAGAGAAGCCATTCGGGAGTCAATAATAATAATAACATCAATGGAACCCTTCAGAAAATAAAACAAACTGATGAATTATCAAATATCAAATAACAACTTTCAACAAAACCCAAGGAAAGCAATTGTGACGACAAAGGATAGACATGTTCAGTGTAACCCATTTACCGAACCAGGGAGAAAAGTAGCAGTAAGAAACAAGTCACCATACCATTTCCTCGTAAAGGTAGATCACTCTCTCATTGGCTAGATTCTGGATGCTAAGATCTTGTCTAATAGACCTTGTCCTATCGAAAATAAAATCATGAACCACTTCAAACGGGTGCTCCCTGGAGTCAAGCAAACTTAGAAGGTATGTTAGGGTTTCTTCTAAAACTGGGAGCGGTCTTACATCCGATGCCTGAACATCCGCTGCTGAAAGAGTTCTACAAAACTAGCAAGAACACAGAAAGAGAGTATAACTGCCTTTCGTATCTGACAAAAAATGAGTAATACAAACTATTCATCTTGACCATTCAGAAAGAAATAATTCTGTAGAATCAAGTTATGGATTCTAATTTGCATAAATGACGAACTTCAACATCAAATTCCTATCAATCACAATTTCTCTCAGCTCAGTGTCAAATATTGAAAGCTAACGCCTCAGCTGAAGGTGAAAGTTTCCCAAATTAGTACCTTTTTGACAGCTAGATCTGTGGATGATTTTGAGGGGTTTCCATAAAGCCTCTCAAACACTGAAAGATCACGCAGGCGTTCCCTTGTGACTCTTTCCCTCTCTATTGATACCAAAAACAACTCATTAGATGAAGCTATACACACTCTATTTGCTGCTTCAAGTGTAACTTTTACCTAAACTCCTAGCAAAAGACAATTTCGTTATGAATCAACATCATCACCCATGAATAAAACTCTGAATCGACCTAAGCACTAGATCAAATTCAATTTAGGTGCAGGAAAGGGTTGAATTTTGGCGGAATCTCAGGTCAATTAGAAATTTATCTGCAGCTACCATAGTTCGATGATTACCTGGGCACATAGAAGAACAAGTTCCTATGATGAAGGAAACGTCAGCAGGATCTCCTTCCTTATAGTTTGATTCGTCTTCGTCATTGTTTCGTTTGGGTGGTGCATCGGATCTTCTCCGTAAGGAATCACTAGCTCCGCCGCCGGATCCAGTCCTCGGGTTATCAGAGGTCTGGCGATTCCCATACGTATTCGAAACCCTAGAAGTAGCGGAAGAAGAAGAGCCACGATTACGACGATCCATGGCTTAGAGGCAACGAGATCTTCGTCCCTCCCAAGTCCCAACGAGATTCTGAACTCTGAAGAAACGAACCCAATCGAAGCTGTTTACCGAACTACTATTTGGAATAAACCGGGAGATAACCAAATCCGGTACATTACTTTCAACGAATTAAATCCGGCGGCAACCGGGTCAATTTAACCGGTTCTGACTTGTACACAAATTTGCATTTCTACAAATGTACAGCAATTCAAATTCAACTCAAGTAAGAATGCAGAACATATCACATTTCCACACACAATGTAATTTACATATATATAGTTTGGACAATTCGATTTTAAGTTTTGGTTTGTTTTTCTTTCCGGTTTTGCAGATTTTTCTTTTTTAACTGAAACCAAATCAAACCCTTCGTATATGGTTTGGTGCAATTACGATTCGGTTCAGTTTTGTTTTTTACAAACAAAATTTTAGTTAGATCTTAATGATTATATATTTTATTAAGCTCCGGTGTATCGGAGAATAACGAGAGATTGAAGAAGAAGATAACAAACTTTATTAATCTCTCGTCAGAGTTTGTTACAAGCGTTAAAAACAACTAAAACATTCTTAAGCTTATATATACAAAACTTATGATCGTTAACCGAAGTTAACCAAACATTGAACCAGTTATAAACCAGCTCAAATCATCAAACCATATATCATAATACACCCCCCTCAAGTCTGAAGCTTCAAACTGTCAGGAAGATACAGACTTGATAATGACATCCTCTTAAGGAGATGATGAAAAGGACCTGGATGTAATGGTTTGGTAAGGATATCAGCATGTTGATTTTCTGTTGGAACATGCAGTGTCTTGAGATTTCCAGCCTTAATCTGATCCCGGACGGTGTGACAATCGATTTCTATATGCTTAGTCCGCTCGTGAAAGACTGGATTCTGAGACAAGTATAGAGCGGATTTGTTATCACAGAAGAGTTTAGCTGGACAACTCACAGTAATATGTAGATCCTTTAGTAATTGTTGAAGCCAGATGATTTCACATGTTGCTTGTGCAAGACTCCTGTATTCAGACTCTGTACTGCTTCTACTCACAACTGCCTGTTTCTTTGATTTCCAAGAAATGAGAGAAGTACCAAGATATATACAATAACCTGTGACAGAACGTCTTGAATCTTTGCATGTTCCCCAGTCAGCATCAGCAAATCCATTTAGACAAATTTCTGTATTTGCAGGATACATCAAACCAAGTCCTGGATTGCCTTTAATGTACCTTAACACCTTTTGAGCGGCTTGGAGATGAACATCAGTAGGAGCAGAGAGAAATTGGCTCAAATGATAAACAGCAAAGGTTATATCCGGTCTTGTAATTGTCAAATACAACAATCTTCCTATCAATTCTCTGTATGATGATGGATTAGAAATAGGAGTACCCATCTCCTTTGTAAGATGAACTGTTGGATCCATAGGAACAGTACTTGGTTTACAAGCCAATAAACCAGCATCCTCCAACAAGTTCTGTGCATATTTCCTCTGACAAACAGAGATTCCTGCAGATGATCTCGCTATCTCTAGTCCAAGAAAAAATCGAGCTGGTCCTAGATCTTTGATCTTAAACTCAGACCGCAACAAAGTTTTCAATTCTTCTAATGCTACATCATCATTACTAGCTATCATCAAATCATCAACATAGACTAGAATAGCAATGAATGATGTAGACTTTACTTTGACAAATAATGTGTTGTCTGCAGGAGATTGAATATAGTTTGCCCCCAACAATACAGAAGATAACCGCTTATACCATTGTCTAGAAGCCTGTTTAAGACCATAAAGCGATTTGATGAGACGACATACCGGATTTGGTGGCAAGGTAACATTCTCCTTTGGTGTATAGCCTTGAGGTAAGCTCATAAAGATTTCCTCATCAAGTTCTCCATGTAAAAAAGCATTGGAAACATCCATTTGCGTTAAACGCCAACCTTTGGCAGAGGCTAAACCAAGCATCAATTTCACACTTGTTAATTTTGCAACAGGTGAAAAAGTGTCTAGATAATCAATCCCCTCCTGTTGAGTAAACCCCTGAGCAACAAGCCTTGCTTTGTATCTTTCTACTGTACCATCAGGGTTATATTTAATAGTGAATACCCATTTACATCCCACAACATTCTTTCCTTCAGGTAAAGTTTCCACAACCCAAGTGTTGTTAGATTCAAGAGCATGAAGCTCCTCATTAGCAGCCTTAGTCCATTTTTCAGACTTCATAGCTTGGCGAAATGTCTTTGGCTCAGTTTCAGTATTATAGGAAAAGATATAGGATTGAAAAGGAGAATTTAGCTTAGTATATGAGACAACAGAGGAAAGAGGATAGGGAGTTTTATGTGTATGTGGTAAAGTAGAAGAAGATGAAGTAGAAGGAATATCTGGAGTTGGCTTAGAAATTTCAGCTGTTGGTGGTAAAGAAGATGAAAATGGAACAAGAGAACAATGATACTCAGACAAATAAGTAGGTGCTTTAGTGTTTCGTTTAGGCCTAGCAATAGGAACAGAATCAATACCTGTATCCTGTGTCTCTGTATTTTGTGTAACATGAATGGTACTAGGTGGTGAGAATGATGCAGATGTGTTATTTTCTGAGTTTTCATATGCAGATGGTGAATCAACAAAATGCAGAGGAACAGGCAATGGCAAGATTGAATTAGGAAACATGTCTACAGACTTAGACAACAATTCACTAGTTTTGAATGGAAACTTAGTTTCATGAAACACAACATTACGAGAAATGGAAATGGAATGTGATTCAAGATCAAGAACCTTATAGCCTTTAAAACCAGAAGGATATCCTAAGAACACACATGGCTTAGCTCTAGGAGAAAATTTATTTCTATCCTGAACATATGTAGAAACATAGCATAAACTTCCAAAACTCTTTAACAAAGTATAGTCAGGTAAACGATTAAGAAGTAATTCATATGGTGATTTATTGTTCAATATCGGAGATGGCAGTCTATTTATCAAATGAGCTGCAGTTAAAACACAATCACTCCAATATTGTAAAGGAATATTTGACTGGAACAAAAGAGCTCTAGCAACATTTAACAAGTGTTGATGTTTGCGTTCAACCACAGAATTTTGTTGAGGTGTATATGCACATGAAAAATAATGCATCATACCATGTTCCTTAATGAGATCTGGAAAAGCAAGTTCAGGTGCATTATCTGATCTAATAGCCTTTATTTTTGCATTATATTGAGTAGCAATGAATTTGATAAAAACAGGAAAAACAACAGAAACTTCTCCTTTATTTCTCATCATATAAATCCAAGTAGTTCTAGTACAATCATCAACAAGTGTTAAAAAATATTTGAAACCTTCTACAGACTCAATGCTAAAAGGACCCCAAACATCAAGATGGACTAAATCAAAAGCTTTACTTGCAAGATTATTATGTGAAACATATGCTAATCGTTTTTGCTTTGCTAAAGGACAAATAGAACAATGAAATTCATGACTCTGTAAAGATTTTAAAGAAGGAATGACACTAACTAATTTTTGTAAAGCACTTGAAGACGGATGTCCAAGCCTTTGATGCCAAAGAAGACCATCAGTCAAAACAGAACCAGAAAATGAACAAGCTGCAGGTGTTGATGTGGAAAGGGATTTGTTCTCTGTTTCAAGAATGTATAGATTGTTATATAGTTTACCCCTCCCAATCATCAAGCCCTGAGAAAGTTCCTGAATAAAGCAACAAGTAGGAAAGAAATGAGCAGAGCAAGACAAAGTTCTAACTAAACAACTCACACTTATCAGATTGAATTTGAAATCAGGGACATGTAAAACATTATGTAGGATAATTGATGGAGTGATGCATATGGTACCTGTGTGTGTGATAGAGACCCTAGTACCATTTGGTAAAGTTACAGTAACACCAGACACAGGTATTAATTCCCTAAACATTGCTAAATCTGAACAAACATGACTAGAAGCCCCACTATCTATTATCCAAGCATCAGGTGCTAAAAATTTTTCAAGAGAAGAAAGAGTATGATTCTGAAATGTAAGATTATCATTTTCAAATGTAAGGCTAGTAGAGGGAAAAGGAAAAATACCAGAAATAGAAGTCTGAGCCATTAATCCATGTTCAGTAATAGTAGCCATTGGACCAGACATACTAGGAGAAGGAACTTCAGTCTCTTGAACCTTGACAGACGAATTGAATTGAGAAACTAGACTCTGAATTTGGTCTGTTGTAAGATCTTGAAGATTCACATTGTTACCACCAGTAGTAACTTGAGGTTGACCAGGCAGAGAAGAACCTACTGAATAGCTATTTGCATGTGAATTTGCATAAGCATTTGCATTCTGCATTGTATTAGCATATGGAACCAATTGCATTGGGGAAGTTAACTGCATTTGAGCGACCATAGGTTGCATAGGTTGTTGTGGCATCCTAGGCTGAAACTGTGTTGTTTGCATCCTTGGTTGAATTTGTAGTTGACCATTATTCCTGTAAGGTGCATTAGTCTTGTAGCCTGGTGGATACCCATGAATCTTGAAACACTTCTGAACCGTATGACCCATCTTCCCACAGTTACTGCAAATCGGTTTTTGTATTGGTCTTCCTGTGTTATAAGCTGCAATATAGCCATAGTCTGCATTATCCACCATAGGAGCAGTAGCTTGAAAAGCAACAGAATCAATTCTAGTAGCTGGTCTAATGTTCTTCTGCCTCTCATCTTGACTAACAATGTTAAAAGCTTCTTCAATTGTAGGGATAGGCTTTAACATAAGAATATGACGTCTGGTTTGTTCATATCCTTCATTCAGTCCCATAAGAAACTTAGTCACACGACTTCTTTGCTGAAGTTTCTCCCATTTGACTGCAGCATCACACTCACATTTACCACAAGAACAAACTGGTAACTCAACATAATTCTTGTGTTCCTCCCACAAAGTAAGCAATGCCGTATAATATGCAGAAATATCCATTGAGCCTTGCTCTAGTTTACTTAATCGTTGTTCTATATCAAAAACTCTAGGTGCATCATCCTGCTTGAACCTAGTAAGCAAATTCTTCCATATACCTTCAGCAGTTGATATGAATAGCAAACTTTGCCCAATCTTTTTATCAACAGAGTTCATTAACCAAGTCGCAACAACATCATTACACCTAGACCAAGCTCCATAATCTTTATGATCTATCGAAGGCCTAACAATCGTTCCATCTATGAATCCTAGCTTATTACGAACATTTAAAGCCATCCACATAGAACGTCTCCAAGCCGGAAATTCAGAAGCTGTGGTCAATCGATCAGAAACAAGAATCAAACCTGCGTGATCATTGTTATGAAGATGAAAAGGATTCTCATATCGATCCATCTGATATCGATTATGCTCAGCATTAGGCGGTAGTTGCGGTGGTTGATCCGTCGGAAACAATGATGGTCGAACACAAGATCCCATTCTCAGTATAAGAAATAGGAAATCGCAAAGAAAAGTGTAACGAATATTGTAAAGAGAAGCAAAGATTCGTCAACACAAAGGTCAATTGAAGAAAAGAAAGAAACAGAATGGAAAAATTCCGACGAAATCAAAAGGAAAAATCGAAAGAAAGTACTTCAACGAGCTCCGATTTAGCTCAACAAACTCCGATCAATCACCGGAAACAACAAAGAAGAGAATGCGGAAGCTTAATAGAACGCTCTGATACCATATTAAGCTCCGGTGTATCGGAGAATAACGAGAGATTGAAGAAGAAGATAACAAACTTTATTAATCTCTCGTCAGAGTTTGTTACAAGCGTTAAAAACAACTAAAACATTCTTAAGCTTATATATACAAAACTTATGATCGTTAACCGAAGTTAACCAAACATTGAACCAGTTATAAACCAGCTCAAATCATCAAACCATATATCATAATATATTTGACGGAATTCAATTTTGATTTTGTCATTTGAGCATTTCATTTTGGGATTGTTCGATTTTTCACACTCGGCCACTCCTATATAGGCACAAGCTTAGGCCGGTTGGTGGGTCTAGTAGTCACGGCCATTCTCTAGAGTCTAGACAGCAAAGCACATTGTGCCCACCACTACAAATTTAGGTGTCTTTTCCTCAACTATCCATAACAACAATCTAACTGCTAACATTTAAAACACATAGACTAGAACCACTAACCATAGTACAATTTTCCATCATAGACAAGAACCACTAAACTGACAAATCATTAGGCAAATTCATATTAAATTAAATCCCCATAATAGAAATGCAAAGAGAAAAAGTTGATTCATCTCCACTAACACCAGACAGTTGTCTCGCATTCTTTCTTATTGCTAAGACTCTTATTTTCTCCAATACACGACCAAACTGATGGAACCGAACTATCAACTATGTACCAAGCAGGCTTAAGAGACGAAACACTTAAAACACACAAATTTGAGACATTATTGGAATCTATAGCTATGACTGAAGATTGATGATAGTCATAAAACATATATTTGTTGGTGGAAATGTATAAATCGCCATTTATCCCAGGGAACCATTATTGGTCTCTCTGAGAAACTTTGACAAAACACATGGTATGTACACACAACATTTTGAGTCTCCCATAAAAAAAACAGAACTCAATTTCTTCCGATCCTTAATGAAGAATCAACACCTTTGTTCTGTCCAGACGAAGCTGCAACTGCAAAGAGTCTAGCAATCTCTAGCTGTGTATTCGCCATTATCTCCGTTCGTTTCAAATCCATTTCTCCTCTCTTAGCTTCAGCTTCAGCTCTCATTCTCTCTATCTCTTTCATCGTCTCCATTCTTGCTCTCTCAGATCTCATCACCACCTCCGCTAACCACCGTATACTTCCGGCGATCTCTTTCTTCTCTTCTTTATATCTTCTCTTCACTTTCTTCCCTCTCACCTTCGTTTTAACCACCGGCGTACTACTGTCTGTGTCCATCTCCGTCGCTTTTTCCGGCTTTTGCTCCGGCTTGAATCCATCTTCCTACACGCAAAATAATTTCATTAGAAAATCTCCAAAATTTGGTTAATTTAGCTGGCCAGACCTTAGGAATCTTGCCGACGCCGTTGGATCCGTAAGAAATCTGCGGCGGATGGGCCACCACAGGCGACGGCGGCTCGAGTAAGAGCAGAGGAACAGAGCAATTCAGAGGCAGAACAGCCTGAGGCTGAGGTTGAGGTTGAGTACCACGGAGGAGATGATCAAGACGAGGATAAAGAGGCCAAGAGGAGCCATCAGCAGTAGCGGACTCAGAACGGTACCGTTTCTTCATGGACTCGATCTTGTTCTTGCACTGTGTTTGAGTCTTTGGTGACTTGGTTTGAGTGGCGCGTGAGGACACGTGTCTAGCCACGTCTTCCCAGTCTTGACCCTTGAGCTTGGCTCTGTTCCTGAGAACCCATTTTGACTCGTAGGCTTCAAGTAAACTCGAAACAGCTCCTTCGCTCCATTCATCACGCTTTAACCTATCCACAACGACGGAGGAAGCAGAGGGCTTCTTGGATGATTCGTCGTGGTTGAGAGATTTGGGGTTTTCTTGGTTAGAGTCTCCGTTCTCCATATATTTTTTCTTCAGGTGAGTTAAAACAGAGACAAGACCCAAGTGTGATAAAATGAGAAAGAATGAGAAGATTTTTAGCAAGTCGTTTGATAGAGATGGGAACTTTTTGAGAGAGTGAATGGAGTTTAACATATGAGAACTGTGTAAGAATTCGCTGCTGGTCTCAAAACTAACCAATGAGTTTGGGTACACGCGTTTCTTGCATGTTCAATGGTCGTGACTCGTGACTTAAAGCTAAAAAAAATTATGTTTTTTTCTTTTATATTGTTACTGTGATTTTATTCTTTTTTGTCCAATTTATGGTTTGAATAAAAAGATTACAAATACAAACAGAGAAACGCATAATTGCACCGGCTTTTACTTACCTTCACAAAAGTTAGTGGAGCAACCCGTCACACATAATATAGAGGAGAATAAAGAGAAAATTGTGAGAGAGTGGCTTACCATTGAAAAATAGGTTTTACTTTCTTTTATTTGTCAACTTGAAAAAAGGTTTTACTTTTGATTTTATTTTTTGAAAAGGGTTCACAATAATGAATTCAAAATCCTCTGATGCAAATGCTTTTATTCATTTAGCTATAAAACCTTTTTATATGCTTTTTTCTCTTTTTTAGGTATGGTGGAGTGAGTCTGGCTGTTAGCGTTGATGTCAAGCCAAACCGCAAAATCCATTAGGCAAAGATGGTAATGGACCTAATGGAAGTGGGGTTACACTTGTCGCTCTCTCACCCATTCTATTTTCAACTCTTTTTCTTCTCATGTTTGCTCGAAGATCCTATATTCGGAGTTGTTCTTTTTTTACTTATTGAAAGTGTATATCTTGCAAAACATTCAGAAAATTTTCGGGTTAGTGTTCTAAGAGCAACTCCATCAGTAGGTTTTAGATGGGTTTCTCATCAGTCATCACTTAAATTTGAAAAAAAAATATAGAGTAAAGAGAGAAAGAAAGAGTTTTTTTTTCTTTGAGAGACATTTAGATATTCTATTCATATTCAAACAACATATGTCTCTTTCTTATTGCTTTAATTCTTAAAAAAAAAAATTAATTATGTAGTGAAATTATAGTAAAATATTAATATAACCAAAAAAATTACAAACAACTTGATGATTAATTATCAATATATAAAATTGTTGGTTGGATTATATATATCATGTATCCAAACAACTTTATGATTAATTATCTACTATCCATAAAACCAAACACAATTAAAAGATTTTAACATTAATTATAAAATAAAAAAAGATTCATATAATGTTCCACATTTAATGATATAGATATTTAGAAGATTTGATTAAGATTTAAACTTATGATTCTCCTATCATTTTTGTTTGATTTTTTAAAATGTTTTGAATCATCATATAATACGTAAAGTTAAGAAAAAACTCAAAAAAAAATTCTGCATATATTATGATTCAAAATTTTACTTATTTAATGATAAAATATTGTACAAAACACGTACCGTCTAGATGCACCAAAACCCTTAAAAAAGTCTTAATGGGCCTTATCCGGCAAAATGTCTTAACGCTCTAATGCAGAGAAAAAAACTCATTGGTTCTATCTAGCAAACTTTCTTTTGATAAGAGTTCTACAAAGTAAGCATGCAAAATTGTTGGTTTAGACACAATAACAAACTATTACAATGGATTACGATAGAAATGGTGTTTCTATGGTCAAGGCAGTGAGGCATGAGCTTAATTAGGATTGACTACGTCAGAGTCGGACATGGGATCGATGACGCGCACCATGTGATTAAGTCGGAGACAACGCTGCCGAGACAGATCGAGGTGTTTGTAGATGTAATCCATATCAAACATTCCGTTATAAAAAGCTCTGCAAAGTGTTCTGAAATGCGTTTGAGATTTTATTAGAACCCTTGAAATAATCTCTTCCAGTACAAACTCAAAAGGTAGATGCTTCAAATGTTGTTCCATGTCCAAACATAGAGAAAAAATCTCAACCAAACCCTAGAAAATCAGGTAGTTCTTTCTCTTGAGTTACAATGAATTAGCATTGGCAGATAGCTTTTGTTTTTATTCTTCCGAACTTCTAGAGGGGCTTTTAAAGGTTTTGAATTTGATGGTGGATACATTTGATGTTTCCTAGTTAAATTAAAACTCGAATAACAATAGAAGATCTTATGTTCCCTTATTGCGCGCATCCGCAAATTCATGACAATCCTTTTTGAAAACAGAGAATAAAGAAAATCTTAGGAAAGATTTTACAATCATATGAGCTTCAACAAAAATAAATAACTTATATAGTTTCCAAAATTCAAAAGTTCAAAAGGCATTACGAAATTGACCGAAAACAAAACACAATGCTATAAAACTTAGGTGCAAGTTTCACGGGAAATGCCGAGCCTGGAATTTGGAACGTCGATGAGAACACGGTGGTTCTGCTGTTGCATACTAGCGATGACGTTAAGGACAGAGTTAACGTTGGTCGGAGCTGCAGCCATGGCGAGGCAGCTGAGGTTACCTGCGGAGCTGTGGATGAGAAGGTTGTCCGGAGGCAGAGTCACGTTCATTCCGGCGAACATAAACGTCACCGACGGGAACACGACGGAGCCGGAGTAGCATGTGTCGAAACCTCCTAGTGAGGTTGCGTTTGCGTTCTTAACACGTCGCCTGAACTCGTTTCTCATCGCCACGTAAGCTGGTTCGACTAGCCTCGTGTAGACCGTCCCTGCGTACATTCGAAGTGCTTATTATGTTGTTAAAAATCAAATTTCTTTCTAAAATGTAATTTTTATATGAAAGTTTTGGATTAGTCTTTTGTTTTTTGTTTAATTCGTTTTCATTTAATCGATTTTCGTTAAAGGTTCTCTTAAGTAAAATCAAAATTATATAATTTTCGTTAAAGGCTCTCTCACATTTTCTACGTGTGCAGAGCAAGAGCAAATAGGTTACTTCCCTATCACGACTTATCATTCCAAATAAAATAAAATTCATCAGACAGCCAAAAAAAAAAAATTATTAAGGAGGATTGAGAAGTCCATACCGGAGTCAAAGATGGTGCCGGCTCCGGTGGCCGGATCAAAGGCGAGTGCACTTGTAGGAATATCTACAATTTTGTTCCCGACACGAATCCCAACCAAGTTAACATAGTAAAGCGATGATCTTCTAGGGTTCTTTAACAATGGAGTGGTCTTGATCCGGATCGGTTGGTTCTTAGGTCCCAATCTTAGCGATCCGGAGAAATTGCTGGACTTACTATTAGGCAAGCAATACGAGAATGTAGACTGATAAAGATTTTGTGACTGTGAGATTAAAGACAATGGACCACGACCTAAGCCCATGAGTCCTTGCGCTGGCAACGATGTTCCACTAGCTTTGTTGATGCACCCAAAGGTGTAGTTTGGGATGACGTCAGTGGCCAATGTTAGTGTGTCTTGTGTCAGATATGCTTCGATTGCTGAACCACCGTAGGTCATGTTGAAACCACATGATTTGCTTACGGTGCAACTTGGATTTGGAGCCTGCAATTAGAAAACTTTATCGATTAATAAAGAATTGTTTTATCCATCTTGGATCTGGTTATATTAAAATGCTCTACTAACGATATGTTACGTTATTTAATTGTACTTGTAAGTGGCCTTTTTGTATTATAAGCAAAACCTAACTAGCATGACGACAAAGTATATAGATCAAAGTTCAAATTCAACAGTAAAATATGCCCTACTAGTTGGAATTGTATAAATACTATACCCGTGACTTAGACTCATGGTACAAAAACCCGTGACTAGACTTCTCGATCATGGTGTAATAACACGCCAAAACTAAGTTCACATTCACATCTTTTGTGTAGATGCATCCAAAATTTATCAAACCGCCGCGTGAGTCCAGTATTACGCCTGACATTCGGTTCGTTTTTTCTGTTTTGGTTGTTAAAATAATCAAGTCTAAATAATAACCATTTTTTCTCTTTTGATTTGACACATTTATGTTCTGATTAGATCTTGTTTTGAACAATTTAAAAAAAACTATTTATACGTTAGTATAATTTAAATGTTTTTTTTTTTTGTATCTCTATCTAATTCAAAAACTATTTTCCGGTCTATTCAGTACAAAAATATCGTTAAGTATGTATGATTAAAAAAAATTACGTTTAGTTTTCATTTTTCAAGTCCATCCAGAGAAGGCATGCACATATCTAGTTTATTCGGAGGGTTTAACTATAAAGCAATAACTAATTACCTGTTTACACTGAGGAGCTTCGCATTGAAGAGTACGAGACGAGCTTGACTTGGAAGGGTCAAAGAGAACAGAGGAAGAACAGCCAACGCAGCCAGAACAAGGAATCCAAGCAGCGTCATTGCTAGTGTCAAGAGCCACGAGCATGGCCTGAGCCGGTGTCCCGATGTTAGCCCTCACTATATAAGTCGGGCTCTGAACGATGCCGCGACCCGAGGCGATTGGGACTGATGATTTCGTAACACCGGCGAGGCTTGACAAGTATAGGAAACGAGCCTTGTCTTGAAGAAGTGTGTCTGCCCATGAGACAGAGGTTTTGAATGGAGAACATTGACTGTTAATGTGGAACACTCTTAGATCTGAGGAATGGCTCTTTTCATTGCAGTTTATGGATTCAGATTTCAAGATTAAGAGAGAGATTAACAAAATCAAGAGATGGGATCTCATTGTTTAAGATCTTGATTTGGTCTTTGTGGTTTTTAGTGTTTGTAGAGTGAATGTGTGAGTGTGTGTTTATATAGTGAGTGATGATGATGAGTGTGTAGAAAGTAATAAGAATATAAAAATGAAGAGTGGGGTTTTGTTTATCTTAGAGAGAACAGACTGTATTCCATCTCCTATTTTTTCGTTGTTTCTATCTGTTTTTTTGGGTCCACACTAATATTGGCTTTCTCTTCTCTATCGACATGCGCGTTGCTCTCCATCCACAAAAACTCATTACTCAAGGGGTTGTAATTTGTAATTCTGTTTTGTGTATTAGGCAATGTGTTATAGCTGATTTAAGAAAAATAGTGACGCATTCGGAAAAAATCCCATTAAACTGTGTTTAAGTTGTAGCAATTTGATGAAGTATATATCTATATCTACTAAATCAAGAGTTACTTTAACAAAAACTGCCACATTCTTCTTCTGACACGTAGCATAAGTCTCATTTTTTACTCTTTTGCTTTCATTTATACCAACTCTATTACTTTACCTTTTTCTTTTTCACACCTACGGAAAAAAACTGTTGCCAATTTTTTTTTGTTTTTTTTTTTACTTTTTCCACTTTCTTTTTGTCACGATCTCCACCTTTTCCTCTTCTCTCCTCCCAAATACTAATATTAAAAAAAATAAAAACTAAAATTAAATATAATTTTAATTTGTAAAATAAAAATGATAATTGTAAGTTTTTGGGAAAAAATAAAATAGCAATTACTACTTCCGTGCGTAGCACGGGCACATACTAGTGACATACTAAATTACAAGTGTTTTTTCAGTATCGTGGAAATAAAGATCAAACACGAAAATATATCTTGTGGTGATATGTAAAGAGAGTCGACAAGCGTTTTAAAGTTTTCGCATGGAGGCTGGAGCCAACGACGGTAGAGTTTGGAGAAAAATGGACAACGTTTAGAAGCATCCAAAAGCTATTATTTCAAAAAGACTTTGTATTTTTCTATTTTTTCCAGATAGATAACATCACAGATTTCTAATCCCTTATTTGGACTCATCTATCGAATGGTAATCAAACCAAACCGGACATCTAGCCGATTAATCGGTCTATTGATAACCGATGCTCATTCTACCAAAATCGTTACAATTTTGATAAACATCCAATTTAGACAACGATTCTTAGAGGGTATTAAAATACAGAGGAACGTGTGGAGTGATATTGTTTTGAGATCCGAGAAAATGAGTTTGATTTTTTTTTGTTCTCAAAGAAAAAGATCAAAAGTTTCACGTGAGGAGTGGCTAGTGGAAGTCTGGAAGACCGACATAAATGCATTATGTATTGTTGCATATTATGGAATGTATCAAACTACTCAATACTCATTACCATGTGGTGGGTTATATCTCATATTGGCCTCTTCTCCACTATATAGTGCTGTCCATCAATTATTTATTCTCATTTTAAAAAATTTAATTGTGTAAAGTATCTCCATTGTTGTTTGTTTGTTAAGAGTTGAATGTGATATGTCAACATCCTCGATACTAAAATTATTGATATAATTTGGTAGAGTTTTCCTGTGGTGAGGTCTTGAACTAAAGAAGAACTTGACATTTGCATGTAGTTCAGTAGTTGTAGGTAGCTTTGCTTGTTATTTGTCTTCGTTTAGTCACTAGTTTTGTAAGAAAAAAAAAAGTGGTTGCAGAGAAAATGAAAGTTACACAATTTAACAAATTTATAGCCAAAAATGAATGTCTCGTCCGAAACTTACTCCTAAATTTAACCCAAACATCACCTTTGTTCTTAAGCTTACAAACTCACTCTCTTTTGCTCATCACTTCACTTTAAAAAAAAAAAAACAACATCGATTTACTTTCTTCTTAAACTTTTTATGAGATGTGAAATGCACTAATTTTTTTTTTCTTTTTTGTTAATAGAAACAAATTGTTACTGTGTTTATTAATATCAGTGGATATCATAACTCAAGAGTCTAGATAATAACGATATAATTTCTTAAAAATCTTTTTTAAGTGCATTTCGCATAAGTTTTTTTTTTAATTTTTTTTTGTTTTCTTCGCAGAGAATTCTATCTGGTATATCATAACCCATTTTAATGAACAAATATTTGATTTCTTGAATCTTTAATTTAATTCTTTTCCCTCAATTCCCACTTAGTTTGCGTGTACGTCACTTCTAAAATTATGTTAGAATCATCAGTCTATCAGACCTAGACCTTACAGTACACTGGAAAGAGTCCCAAACATAGTAGGAGGAGTCTGAAATTACATTCTTTTTTCTTTTCTTTATATATTCCCAATCATAACTTGGAGTTGTATTAAATGTACCTGAATCACGTGAGAATAAAACGGAGGTTTTTCATACCTTTACAAAAGAAAATGAAAATAAAACAATTCAACTTTTAAGGAAGATCAGAGAAGTAGTTGAGAGCCTTTAATCTAGTAGTTGAGGACTGAGGAGTTTAACTAGTGAGAGGAAGAGGCTCGAGGAGGATCTCTAGCATTATCAAACTCTCTCATCTTCTTTGTGCACTCCAAAAAGTCTTCTCGTCTCTCTTCAATCAATCGCACATAATGGCACATGGAACACCGCTCATTACAAGAAAGAGGATCTGCAACTTATTCTTGATCGTTTGTATCATTGCATGTTTTATTGGTTTGGTCGTTTTTCTATTCATCAACGAATCCAACCGTCCGGCGCCAAAAGTAGAATTAGCTTCTATGGATTTCACGGTGCTTAATATCACACAGACTCGTCTTAGTGCAAAGTGGGATTTGTCCATAAGGATCCCTGAAGATCTTCCTGGTAACTATATATGTCTTCAAGGAGACTTCCAAGCTTCATTTCTTTACAAGAATGTTACTCTTGCTACATCATCTCCACAAAAGTAAGCTATTTATACTTTCTTTATTTTTACTATAACTTAAACCGGTTTTTGTATTTTATATTCATGTTTTCGGAACTAATTAAATCCTCTGTATAACCAGTTACAACAATCTCAAATACCGCTTGCCTCAGCTTCTTAAAGTTTCTGCGGTTGTCTCCGACGAAGATATTGGTTCGATTGGAACATGCAGTATGGAAGATGTCAAAGAGAGGAAGCAAGTAACGTTTGGATCACAGTTTTCTCTTACCGATTGCAGAAAAAAGACGTCAGGAGTTATGAGTTATGCATGCCATGAAGTGACCTTGAGGTTCGAACCCGGATCCGATATGAAGGCGTCTGTGTTTGGGAAGCATCCAAGGTGCAAGAATTTCTGACCAAGTCCACGTCATCACCAGTTTAATGTTAAGTTTACAAAGATTTGACATCTTACCTAGGGGCTTTACTGAATCAAAGATTTAGTTTTATTTGTAATGACTTAAGATTTGGGTAGACTTCAGGGTCTAAAGTTTATCGTCTTGTTTTTTTAATATTTCTTAGGACCTATTAAAAATGTAATGCATGATATAAAAAAAACAAATTATCGTCATATAATCAAAGTGAACTTATAAAAATGACTTGCCTTACTTTTCTTTTGAAATTCTAATGTAAGTAGTATGTTTTGAAATTCTAATGTAAGTAGTATGTTTTGAAATTCTAATGTAAGTAGTATGTTTGTGTTTACATAATTACATCAACAAACGGAAAAAAAAATGTTTGTCTTTAAAGCCATGCAAAAACTAAAAAAAACTAGTGTAATCAGATCAGATAAGTCATAAGTCGTCATAAGTCAGAAAATTCCTTTAATAAATGTGAACTGAAAACACTTTTGTAAAGTCATCAAATAAAAAGGTCAACTGTACAATTAAAAGTCCGCAAACATCTCGATCGTCCAAGGGACGACTTTTCCAAATTGTTAGGCGCTCTTGTATATAACTTTATGAAGAAGATGTAATAGTAGTGGCTCGATCGCGTCCACACATTTACATTGCGACTTTTCTTGCATGCCGTCTCATACACTATATAGAGGCATATTACAATTATCTTCGTTTTAAGACTAGTTCTTGTTTTCTCCATTTTCTCCATTTTCTCTCAACAAAATCAAAATGTTGACTCACACAATTTCTAAAGCCATCTCTTTGGTAACCATTCTATTAGCTCTACAAGCTTTCTATAACACATCAAAGGCTCAAAACTGCGGTTGTTCGTCAGAGCTATGCTGTAGTCAGTTTGGCTTTTGCGGTAACACTTCAGACTATTGTGGTGTAGGTTGCCAACAAGGGCCTTGTTTTGCTCCTCCTCCTGCTAATGGTGTGACTGTGTCTGAGGTTGTTACGCAAGATTTTTTCAATGGAATCATTAGTCAAGCCGCGTCTAGTTGCGCGGGAAATAGTTTTTACAGTCGAGGAGCTTTTCTTGAGGCCTTAGACTCATATTCTCGTTTCGGTAGGGTTGGATCAACCGATGACTCTAGACGTGAGATCGCAGCGTTCTTTGCTCATGTCACGCATGAAACTGGACGTAAGTATATATTAATGCTTCATTTTACTCTTTTTCTTTTATGATGCATACATGCATGTTGAATATATATGAACATACCAAACAGAAAAAAAAAAGAAGATGAAAACGTTAGAACTTGTTTTTGTTTTATAATAATCGTTAGACTAAATAACATGTTTTACTAGATTAGTGATATCTTTTCATCAAATAGTACTTTTGAATCGTCCTATGCTAAAGAAACTTGTAGAGATACTTTGATGCCGCAATATTCGATATAATAGTTTCGGCCTTTGTTTTAGATTTCTGCTACATAGAAGAGATAGACGGAGCCGCAAAGGATTATTGCGATGAGAATGCAACACAATATCCATGCAATCCTAACAAAGGCTATTACGGCCGCGGACCGATTCAACTCTCTTGGAATTTCAACTACGGGCCAGCTGGAACCGCAATTGGTTTCGACGGCCTAAACGCACCGGAAACAGTAGGCACAGATCCAGTCATATCCTTCAAGACCGCCTTGTGGTACTGGACCAATAGGGTTCAGCCTGTTCTATCTCAAGGTTTTGGTGCAACAATCCGAGCCATTAACGGTGCTTTAGAGTGCGACGGGGCCAACACAGCCACCGTTCAAGCTAGAGTTCGTTACTACACGGATTATTGTCGTCAACTTGGCGTTGATCCTGGAAACAACCTCACTTGCTAACAAAAACATGTATTAATTGATCTATTTCTTTGTATACATAAAAAGAAGACAAGCTTTAAGAATGGAATGGCCCATTAATGTATCTGTCCCTTAATGTCGAATATAGAATCCACATAGTTAATAAAAAGACAAAAACAGAGAAACTATATACAGAATCCTATGAAGTAGTTTTCATCATTTTTGAGAAAGACATGGAAAAGCTTTGTTATGATCAACACCATAGTAATGAAGAAAGCCTTTGAAGACATGACCACTTATGGTTACAGTTGCTTGATAACCAATCTCTGCTTGCTCGTTGTTGCTTATCGCTGTTACTCTTGTCCGTTTAAAAACCGCCGGAGCTTCAATTTTCCCCGGTAACCCCTCTTTGAAGCTTCTCTCTGCAATTTTCCACACAAAGACCTCAAATTCAGATTAAAAAAGGATTCTTTTGTGTTCAATTCTAGTTTCAGTTTTCATTACCTTGGCGAGAAGTGGTTGTCGGAAGCAGCGAGACATTAGCGGAACTCTGTTTATCGAGTTTGAGCTTCTTCTTCCTCTCAGAAGGAGAAGATGAAGAACGAGTTGCAGAAGAAGGAATCCACGTGCTCTTCACGTGAGTGACACAGTTGTATCCTCGGCTTTTACAACAAGTTCTACACCTTTCGAACAAACACTCTTTCTTTGCTCTGTTTCCACAGTCTCTGCATACTTTTTCTCCAACTGTGTTGTTGTCTTCCACCGCCGCTATGTTTACCGGAGAAGGAGACAGCCGTGTTGTTATCTGCGGTGGTGGAGGTAAGAGAATGATGTTTCGAAGACCTAACATGTAGTCTGGAGTACTGATTCCAACGGCGGAATCAGGTGGGATTGAGACGGCGGCGAAAGGTGTTGAAGATGATGATGGTTGTGGTGGTGGTGGCCATGAGAGGGAAGAAGGTGGATTTGCCACTGTGGCAGAAGTAATATAAAAGCGCGTGGAGGCTAATCTAGTAGGTGGAGCTTAGCTATGGAGGAGTCTAGTGAGAGTAGTGAGAAACAGAGAGAGAGCAATAGGATGAGTGAAAAAGAAAGTATTTTATTTTTCGGTTTTTGACAGAGTTTTGTGGTCACATGTCTAATGGTTAAAAATGGTCTGCAGAAAATGAAATAATTATCTTTTCGAATTGGGTGGTCCACTTCATTGGGAAAGCACCCGTCTAAATCGGCTTTTATATCCCACCCACTTTGTGGGTCTCTCTCTATGTGCTTAAGCTTTGATGGCATAGATTTCTCAAGAGATCTGTTTGGTATGGATAGTTTGTACTTTGTACTTTGTATTACACCAGGGATAAAAACTATCACAAAGAGATTATGGAATCGAATGTTTCAGTTTATTTAGGTTTTTCACTTGAGGAATCTAACTTCGAAACATTGCAACACTCTCAAGTCTAGTTGTTGTTATAGCATTCAACTTATAGGCAAGAAGATATTTCTAGCAGGGAAGTTGGTCCTTGTAGATGTCCAAGACCGAAGTGGATGCAGTAATTGGGCACAACCTTAGAGAGAATGAATATGGTTTGGGTGGAATCAGATACTTATCGTGAACACATGGAGTCCAGCTATCATCTCCCCCAAGACCCATGTGTTTGTGGTCCAGATGCACCTGCACAATAATCACCATTCAAATGAGCTAACCAAATGCCAATTGATACTCAGGTGCTTGATCAGTCGCTTCCATTCTTGAATTCAAATATAAGCTGGTCAAGAGGATCAAGAGATTGAGGAAAAGATAAATATTACTACCTCGATGTTTTGTCCTTTGATAAGATCCTCTTCATGCGTTGCACGATTAAGCTCACCTGTTGTATAGTAACTAGCATTCATCTGCATTGGGGAAGAGTTACCATATGTTGAAGCATATATTCCTACACCATCTTTGTTTCGGAATGTCACCCACCTAACATCTGTTCTACCACCACTTTCTCCTGGAACAATATAAGGGACATGCATGTCTCCAACATTGTGTTCATATATGGCCACATGGGCTGCTGCTTTTCGGTCTGGGTAACACTCAAATGGACCTTTGCCATACCATTCTACACGGTCCAGTGTTTTTTCAATGTGAAATTCTATACCTACACGTGGTAGCGGTGGAAGATCAGAGTTTGGTTCTACAGACCAATTGGTGATGATATCTCCGGAACCATAGATCAGATATGTAACATTGACTTTGAATAAGGCATCTGTCTTTGAAGAGACAGAAGCTGAAGAACCAAGGTATATGAACTCTATCTCTACGGCTTTATCAGTGATGCTCTTCACTGAACAGCTTTCAACAAGGAACTCCACATTATCCAACTGTGCTGCTTTCCATCTCAAAAAATAACTAGAGTCACCTCCACCTTTATCATTGTCTGTAGGTGCTCGCCAAAAGCATGGCAGTATATCTTCCTTCATAAGGAGAACTCCTTGAATCTGTCATTTTTGATATAAGTATAAGAACATAAACATCCTCGCTAAATCTGAAAAAGTGTATGCATAACTTCTTCAAGATTGAATCTATTGTTTTAATTTTACGTTTTGTACTTTTCTCTGCCTAGCTAGTTAGATTCCTTTTTCCTATGGTAGTTCTTTCTTTTCAACAACTATGTACTCAGTATAACCCGAATGCGTTTAAATAAATCAGGAAAGTGGTTACAACCGGTTATATCAAACTTTCGATCCCAACAGTATCGTTTACTTGAGGAACCTATATGCCTACAGTATGTAAGACTTCTTCCATATAGTTTTATGCATTAAGAAATTGTTTAAGAGCTTCCCAATCAAGAAATAAAACAGAAAAGAACATACCTTCCAACCTTCAATAGCTCCTTTTCGGACATTTATCATTAGCTCCCATGAATCTTGCTGGCTGATCTTAATGAAATCTCCAACAGTTTCACAAGTGATAATAGTGTCTGTCTTTTTTATCGCCTAGAGTAGGAGGTTACTTAAAGTTTTCAGGACTTCATGAATTAGAGATCTTTCCAAAAGAAATATGACTTGTAGAGGATGTGGGAAATACCTGCGGTATTATTTGTCTCTTTGCTGGTAAAGGAATCTGCGTTGAAGACAAAAGATGACCAGCTTCAAGCGAACGAGTAGGATTTAGAAGCTTGGCATTTATTGTCAGAAACAATTCTCCAGCATTTGAGTCATTCCAGAAGGAAAACCATGGACCTGACTTCCACTCTATCTCAAAACTATTTTGTGGCTTTATCACAGGAATAGAGAGAGTTCCAGATCCAAGTTCAAGACCGTCCCCATGAATTTTCCAACTAAACTCCAATTCTTCTGTTGTGTGGAAAAAGTAAGTGTTTGCAACCTGCAAAGATTAAGTTTGAGCTACATAGATAGTATTAAAACCAAAGCCAACTGAAGTGATGTATATATTAAATTGTACCTTTATCAAGCCATCCGTCAATGAAACCTTGATTGGTTGATAGCAATGCTTAACCTCTTAAGCAACACAAAGACATGATGCAAACAGAAGAAATCAGTGCCATTTGAACATGTATCATGGTCAAGTATTCAGAAAAAGGGAAACATATGTGATACGTTTTAGATTTATATTCCTTAACTTCAATTTCTTGATTTAGGAAAATATTTAAGATTTCCATTTCTCTACTAATTTTTTTTTACCTAGAATGCTTTTCTATTACGTTTTGGTACATAAGTAAGGATGAGATTTCGTCTGTGATATACTCATCTAGGGTAGAGAGAGCGTTGGAGAAAAGCTTTTAAGCTTTCTTACAGGCTTTGCCAAGAGAAACGTTTCTAACAGAATTTGATGATATAGTGCTGTTTCAATAAAGAAGAGTTTTCGGTTTTCTTTCGTGATTCTTAAACTCTACCAATTGGTCCGACCTAACAACGGACAAATGCCAAAAGATATGACTACTACTCGAACAGAGAGAAGTGTGGACGCGTTAGAGAAGAATCACAAAATTCTGTGTGAAAAGTTGGATAGTATTCAAGCTGGTTTGAAGGATGTTTCAGATGCAATTTTGAGTTTGACAACAATGGTTGCTGCAATTCAAGGGGACACGGTATCTGAAGTATCTCAAGAAACATCTGCAGATTCTACCGTGGTCCATATAAACAACAACCACTGTGCCATAAACGGCGACAAATATGTTAACGAGGGTCAAGCAACAGAGATTCCCAACTTAGATACAGAGGAAAAAGCTGTCTTATTGAATCTCCAACCTCAAGTTCCTGTGGAACGTTGGCCCAAAGTTGTTTGTGGAAAACAACAAAAGTTAACAGATGTTCCGCCTTATTTGGATTTTGATGAGGATGATTTCATTGTTTTGGGAGGGCTTGCTTTGGAATGAACTCTGAGTCCAGCCTTGAGGACAAGGCTGTTTTTCAAGCATTCAGCAATGATACGTAATGTATTAGGTTTTAAATTACAATTTATACTTCGCTATTTACGAAGTTATTCATTTTTTTTACTAGAGTGCTTTGCTTTTAAGGTTTACTATATATATAAGAATGAGATCTCAGTTGTGAGACTCATCCAAGCTAGAGAGAGCTTGGGTTTCAACAGAGGAAAAAGATGTAAAGCTTAGTTATTGGCTTTCCCGATGGACATGTTTGTAACGAGTTAGGTTCTATGGTTCATTTGCTTCTAACGATGGAAAAGCTTCAAGTTTTTTAATTCTTAGCTATATCAAAATGTTACCATGGAGTGCTGGATGAGGAGTTCGGTCAGGCCATATAAGCCCATTGAGACAGAAGTTCAAATCATTAGGCTGGTCACCAAAGTCCCCTCCATATGCCCAACGCTTAATGCCATCTGACCCCAGTTTCAATAGCCCCTAAATGATAGAAGAAGACTAATATTTAAATACAGATTAGCCAAGAAAAGTGCATATTAATTTTTATACATGGATTTGGCTGACCATAGGATCTTACCAAAGATTTAATTTCTCTTTATGTAACAAGAATAAGAACTTTCAGATCATTGATAAGAGAAGGGATTAACAGGTTTAATTTAGTTGTTATGGGCATACTATTGTACGAAGAATCAGCTTATACTATTTCAAGATATGAACCTGGTCAACCCAGTCCCATATGAAACCTCCTTGCAGGCCAAAGGTATTGTCAATTGCATCCCAGTACTCATCTATATTCCCGTTGCTGTTACCCATAGCATGTTGATACCTGCGTTTTGTTAAGAAGAAATCTCTCAAGTAAACACAAAAGAAACATGAAATCTAAACAATGATATAATAAATTGTCACTATATGATGCCAAATGCAATTCAGGAAAAGTGAAAGAAGTCTGAAGAAATTGATCTAACATACTCGCATAATATCAACGGTCGTGATTCATTTTGATCAAGTGCAATCTTGATGATGTCCCAAACCCGCATGTACATAGGGCAGACTATATCAGTAGAACTTGTTCTGGAACCACCACCTTCATAGTGCACCAACCGTGAGGGGTCCTTTTCCCTAATCCAACCTGTTCCACAAGTTCAACAACAATAGCTGTAAGATAAAATCGATATGCAAGTTAATTCTCTATCAGGATTGTAAGTAACATGGATCAAAGCTTATTCAAAATGTTCTTCACATAAGCTCTTACTTCAGCATTGGCCAGATACAACCTATAGATTATCTTACAAATATACTATAACGATAAGATATAAGTAGTGTTCATTCCAATAGTACAATTTTCAACTGGACTGCATACCTGCCATAGCAGAATGATTAGGCCCATAGCCAGCCTCATTTCCCAGTGACCAAGAAATTATGCATGTATGGTTTTTGTCTCTTTCAACCATCCCAACTACTCGATCCAGCATAGCGGCTGCCCAGCTTGGCTCTTTCGCAGGGTGCTTCAGATGCCCAGAGAGATCAAAACCGTGTGTCTCTATATTGGCTTCATCGATCATGTACATGCCGAACAAATCACATAATTCATACCAGCGGGGATGTTGAGGATAATGACTGTTTCGCACCGCATTGATATTATATTCTTTCATCATGATTAAATCCTGGGAACAGGGCAAGGGGTAAATCAAAATCCCAATAGAGTACACAAGTTAGATAGTGGTATCCTAAGTAAACCATGGAAGGGAGAAAGCATAGCTGGACAAGAAAAAAAAACCATGTTACCTTGACCATGCAGGCCTCTATATTGGTCTTCCCAACACGTGGATGGTGCTCATGC